CATAGTAATGCCATGGTACGTTGATATGTCAAGTGTTTTCGTGTAGCCTACTGTTTTGATAGATGATAGAGTTTTGGTTGAAAACTGTTTACCTACTGTATAGAGTCGTGCCGGTGTCAAACTTCAAGTACACCTTCTTCTTCTTCGATGCCAGACGATGTATTTTAGGCTTTGTTTTCAATGGACTGTAAGTTAATATCCACGTTATGCAGCGCTCTCCTCTTTTCTTTGGCCTAAAGCACCCCGTGTTTTGCTGGACGACAACCCGCTTTCAAACGATTCAGTGTATGAGATTTGACTGAATTATTCATTGTGCGAGAGAGCTGTTCGAATGAGTCATTGAGTGAATGAGCTGTACAAATGATTCAGTACTTTCTCAGCGAGTGAGGTGTTCAAAATGTTTAGTTTGTTTTGATTTGCTAACCGTTTTTGATCAACATACTACAGAGCCTCCTCAAAAAAAAAAAAATTTTCATTCAGGAATTCTGATTCGGTAGCTGTTCTACTAAAGATAATGACTTGATCACATACTTTACAATAGAGTTACAGCTTTGAAGAACTTTATTTATTTATTTATTTACTTATTGTAATAAGAAGCTACTACACAATGCCACTAGTGACACTGGCAGGCTAGAAGTGTAACTGACAGGAATCTAATTTATAGCATTAAAAGGGCAATAGGAAAGTTGTGAATACAATCCGACAGCTGCTTGGATCATTGTCTAATCTGCAAATATGTGATCCTGCCAATATATTTTCTTTGACTGGTCACAGGGCAGCTAGTTCCCTGAGCAAGATGCCTGTTATCGAGCTGGGAAGTGACAAGGTTATGACCTTTTCTGCAGGGTAACACTCCCTGCCACATATATTAATGGTAATAAATGTGTTACCTGACACTTCAAGATAAAAATGTATGTTTAGACATTGACCTGCTTCTGTCACAGCCCAGCAGTATGAAACACATTGATATATTATGGTGTTTCACCTTCCATTATCGTGACTAAGTATGAGTTGAGAGAGGCAGGGTGAGCATGACCAAAATCTATATCACTGTAAAGGTGTAAATCACAATAGGATTAGTTTTGCTAGATATACAACAACAACAAAAGCTTATGTATTAAAGAATATGCATGTAGTAGTATATGTAGTGATGCTATCTTTGTGTAATGGAATTAATTTAAATACTTTACTAATTAAACATCATCTCATTTCATTAGTTTTGCTTTTTAATTGGAGGCGGTCACAAATTAAAAAGATCATTAATACTGATAAAGTTATCTTTAGTGTGATTCACTGTACTGTATATATTTAAAAAAAAAAAAAAAATCCAAGCCATGGCTTTTTTATGTTGAAGTCATTTGCTTATTTTAAATGTCTTAAATGAACATAAATGTGCCATTATTGCAGCAATTACTTGATTTCTTAATCAACTTTCCGTTTATTTACATGGTCTTAAATTGTATATAAAGTTCCCCATCTTATGTTTTCTTTGAGAAATGTACAGTTTACGGAAAACAAAGTGCTTGTACTCGTTTATTGCATGTGAAACACAACAAGAACATTTTAAGATGAACAAATAAACTCATTATGGCATCACACAAGAAGTTACTAAATGTGACACAATCAATGATGAAAATGAAATTGGCTAGCAAGCAAACAGAACAATCATATTAATTATTCATACCCCAGTGCATGCTGGGAAAAACACAAATGAGACCATTAGTGTAGGCCTACAGTATTTGAACTCAGAAAAATGCATTAATCAAACTCACCTGCTATGCTTGTTGGTTCAGCCTAAAATAAATTGTAATAAATCTGCATCAGGATGTTGGGTCATGTCAAAGTTACAACCGAGAGCAGTTTGTCCTTACAAATTTAGTTTAGAAATCCAATATTTGTAGATTATGGCATGTGAATTGAAGCTCATTCTAAGTAGATTCTGGATATGAAGCATGAAGAGCATTACAAGCAAAGGAGAAAAAGAGAAAGAGAGATTGGATAACACGATTAAGTATTTTCAGAGCGTGACTTTAACGAGATTTGAACATAATTTACCTCAAATGGGATGAAATTAAAATTCCCTTTACCTTAACACAGAGGCACATGACACACAGTCACACATAACCATCCGCCCCCTGTGCAGCCCAGATACACGAGGACTTAAATACCCTTGAGAAAGGGAGTCAGAATGAGTGTCTGAGCGTCACGCACAGGACTAGATGGCATACGGTGTCTGGCAAAGAGTGAAAACAAAATCAAAGTTCAAGGGAAGGTCTTAGTGCCAACCTTCAATACTTTCACTTTGAATCACATGAATAAAATGATTTTATAAAAAAAAAAATTACATAAAGAAAAGGGAAACTATTTTAGGACCTTTAAGATTTCTTGCATTGTGACATTATTTTTATGATAATTATGCACATATAGATTCATTGCATACATTTAGATTGTTAAACATTTTATATTTTACATTTATATTTATATATGTGTAAATACTTAAAAAAATATTTGCATCACAATAATACAAATTTTGACTTTTAGAGAACTTTAAGATACATGTGCTGTAGTCATTAAATATTCACCCTTTTATCTCCAAAACGTACCTGTTTTCAGTCATTAGATGTGATTATTGTGATACGTTAATGTTAGTTTTCCTCACTTGCAAACCCGTAAATGAAAGTGTCTGCTGCATGATTAAATGTAAATCTGACAAATCATCTGTATTTTATTGTACATAAACTCACCGTACATTATCTATCCACAACATTGAAGTGTTTCCAGCGGTTGCAGATTCCTGCCATCTAATGAGCTCCGGAGCTCACTGTAAGACTTCCCCATGGAGAGAATCATTAAGCAAATTAGTAACAGACTCATTTACACATTCATAGAGTGCCCTAGATCATGCCCAGAGGCAAAGTAATACAAAAGCAACAAGTACAGAGATTCACCATTGACTTGCCTGCATGATGATGTTTGATTTGGACGCAGAGGGTTTCACAGCAGTCTGAGTTCATGTCCCATGAATGATGGATTGAATGGTACATTATGAGCACATTTTAAATAGCTCTAGCAAAAAAACTAAAACAATTTAAAAATTGTGCCCCAAAGGGTGAAAGCACCAAAAGATCGGTTTACTGTTGACTCTGCTATTCAACTTTAAATTTGTTAACTCTATAAGTTCTAGATTGTTTGAAATGGTATTACTCGTCCCAGATTATATGCAATAATTAATAAATGTATATATATATATATATATATATATATATATACATTTGCACAGAGACAGCAATTAATAATATAATAATAATAATAATAATAACGTGCATGTGTGTGCCTTTTATACTCACCCTCCTTTCATTGATTGGCAGTGTGTGATTCAAGAAATCTCCATCCCACTCAGCAGACACCAAAGATAAGATCAAAGAGTATACTTGATAACCCATCTTATTTTCAGCAGCCTCACTGTGCTCGGACTGTTACATCAGCATACATCAGCAGATCGCTAGCTCAATCAGACCTGTAGTTTAACATGGTGAAATTAAGGCATTGGTGATGGGCCTAAATAGAAACTGTTGTCTTTTGGATCTTTGGTTTCTGCACTCTTACAAATAAAGGCTCTACAATTGTGATCCCATAGAAGAACCATTTTTGGTTCCTCAAAGAACCTTTAAGTAAACAGTTCTTAAAATAATCACTTTTCATAATGTGAAGAATGTTTTTTTTTATTTTGTACCAGTGTCACGGAATGCCAGGAGGAAACAAGGTAAGTTCCAAGTGCAGTTTATTAGAAAATAATAACGGAGCAAAACAGAACAAAAACGTAGCAAAAGGTAATCCAACCTGACCACAGATAACACAACTGGGAAGACAATACAATCCAGACGCAATGACAGACAGAGAAGGCATGATATATATAACTGGGTTAATGATGAACAGGTGTTACCAGTAGACCAGGATTAGTGAGCAGGGGACTATGGGAAATGGAGTTTAACACAAACAACGTAAAACAGAAGAGCGCCCTCAAGTGACCAGTCCAGGTCACCACAACAAACACTGTGACAACCAGTTTAAAGAATAATTTGTGCAATGGAAAGGTTCTATGAATGTTAAAGGGTCTTCATTGAATCATCACTGGAAAAAAAGGACTTTCATTTTACAAGTGCACACAAACCCAGAGCATGTTCAAGCAGTGATTTTTTTTTCTCCAAGTGGTGTTTATTTAAGAAAACTGTGTTTATTACAGGACTCAACTGTAATAGCTCATGTTTAGCCCTAAAGTTGACTTTTTACAACAAGTACAAGTCTATACAAGTTCCTCTTGGGACTACAACGTCCATGTCCTCGCGAGGAGCAAATAATTATGAAAATCCTTGTGTCTTCAAAAAAAATAAGAAATTCATATTCGATTTGAAATCATGATAAATAGATAAATACATAACAAAACGTTACAACCCGTCTCAACAGTCTCACAAATAAATAAATAGAATCATAAATAACATTCAAAAAATATCTTTGGCCAAACAAGGCCCATGTAGATATTTCCTCCTAAAAACTCTTTCCACCGAAGCTTGAAATCCAGGTCATGGTCAGCTTCGGTTAGCGACGCCATTCATCCTTAAGAAGGGTGACGAAACAAAGCTAAACCATAAAAACAAGAATAACAAACCGACTCCATTGAGGCACTTTTTAAGGATGTCAGAAACATTTTGCATCTTCCATGTGGATCTTTTTTTTTTATGAAAAGGAAAGCTGAATATATATGACCAAAAACCTCCAACATTCATTTACAGATAATCCAAAGGCTGCATTTTATTCTGACTTCCTTTATCCTCGCTTCTTGAGCATGAAATCAAGGCAAACTAAAAACCTCAAAAAGAAAAAGGTGAAAAAGAACAACTACAAAATAATATAATGAAATCTGGTAAAACAAAAGGAAATGTCAAAGTTAAATACACATCTATGTTTGTTTCAAACTTAGTGTAAAAAAAAAGAAAAAAACATCAGTGTTTGTTTTCAGTGGTGGTGCTGGATGTTACGTCTGATTGGCTCTCTGATCGTTCTTCGAATATCCCTGCGAGGGTTTTGAAGCGAGGCCCCCACTCGTTGAGGTAATCGTAGTCCTCCTCTGTTTCACCCTTTACAGACTCTATAGAGCTTAAACTCTCGGCCACCGAGCCCTCGCCCTCGTAGGCATACGTGGCCAGCGAGTCGTACGGCGGGGCGGAAGTGTCACCATCATGTTCTTGCAATCGCAGACTGATGAAGTTGCTGATGTCTGCGCTGTTTTGCGAGGCTACTGGCCGCCGTGCACACAAACCCAACTCTGGCTTAACATCTCGGCGAAACATATTTTCCTTGATGACTTTGGGGTTGCGGAGGGTGCCCATGTCGAAGGCGTGCGTATCCTCCTCGCCCCCACCTTCATCGTCGTAATGGATGACGTTGTCACGGATGTCCTCTTTGGACGTCATGAGAGTCTCTTTCTTCTTCTGCCGCCGAACCCCAACGTAGAGGACCACAATCACTGCAGGAAATACACAAGCAGAACAGAAAGGAAAGATTAGCATCTTTTTATAACACTCATACACATTAAAAAAGTAAATCAAATCTGACAACAATGATAAATCATATCACATAATTTTAGTCGTGTGATTTTCAAGCTGATCAAGCCAATGCATGTGACAGGGGGAAAAAAAACACAGGCGAGTAGTTTGTTTTAATTAGAAGGTGGGTTTTCTGTTCCTATATAGCCTCTGTGTTGAGTATTGTGTTTTTTTCCCATTCATTTTTTTATGAGTGACTCAAATCGTCCTCGTTATGCTGTCTGTACAATCAGGGACTGAGGCAGGCAGAAAAACAGCAGAAGCCAGTGGAAACACACTTCTCGTTCAATCAAGGAGACAACCCCCTCATTTGTCAGAGTTTTCCATGATTGGCAAACAGCTCCTGACTGCAGTCATCATTTAGAGACAGAATGAAAGCTGCAGCAGTAATGTGTACCCTCCATCTGATGGACTCTCTCACCCATCATGTGTGACTATTTCACTCCTCTCGTGTTATTCATTTGTTATTGACTGGCCACAGAAGATCCTCAGCTATAGATAGATAGAAATAAAGAAATAGAATGATAAAAAGCAAGAATGACAAAGAAAAAGAGAACAATACGGTGATAGACAGAACAATAGAATCATAGAACGACAAATAGAATGATAGATAGAACGATAGATAGAAATAGAATGATAAAAAGAAAAACAGTTAAAAATGGAACGATAAAAGAATAGACAGATCAATAGAATGACAGAATGATAGATAGATACAAAGAGAATGATAAAAATAAAGAAAAACTATGAAAAATAGAATGAAGAAAGGATATACAGATCAATAGATAGATAGATAGATAGATAGATAGAAAATATGATAGACAACAATAAAATGATAGAATAATATATATATAGATATAGAATGATAAAAAGAAAGAAAAACAACGAAAAATAGAACAATAAAAGGACAGAATAGAACAATTTAACGACAGAGACAGACAGACAGACAGACAGACAGACAGATAGATAGACAGACTGACAGATAGATAGATAGATAGATAGATAGATAGATAGATAGATAGATAGATAGATAGATAGATAGATAGATAGATAGATATCTGAGTTACTTTTTCAAATAAGTAACGCAAGTTACTTTTTTTTTCAATTTATTGATTGACGGCTCTCCTGTCCCCATGTTGAGATAAATCAGAAGATGTTACTGTAGTTCTAAAATAAATATGAATATGCATTAATTCATCTCACTCACATAAAAAAAACAAAAAACTGATTCAGTATTCCTCAAAATGAATAAAAATAATGCAACTCGGATTATGATGCAAACCTGCAATAATCAAATGTTAAACAACACAAATATCCTTTATGTATTTAATCCCATTCTATGAACCAATGTCTTTGCTTCTGACCTTCGATGATCCAGTTCAACCGTACTAATAAGCAAAAATTACTCTAGACAAACATTTGTGTGTCTTTGTTTATTGCTGAATTGTTGAAATTTCTTCTTCTGCATTCTACTGTACGGACGTAAATTTATTTTCCCTTCAGCCTGAGGCGTATTCATTTCACTTTTGGTGTGAAAAGGCTTTTATATTTGCCAAAAATATAACTTTTTTATTTAAAAAAAAAAACAAGCAAGCCCTGTCCAGATTTAAAAAGTAACGGAAAAGTAACGCAACGCATTACTTTCCATAAAAAGTAACTAAGTAACGTAATTAGTAACTTTTTTATGGAGTAACACAATATTGTAATGCATTACTTTTAAAAGTAACTTTCCCCAACACTGTTTATTAGTTAGCAGGAAATCAGAGGAAACTGCTAGAAAACAAATATCAAGGTTGTTTCCCCTTCAGGAACTCGAGCTGCGTCGAGTCGCTTTGGGAACGTCCTTGCGTGACCGCGTTCTGAAGCTCGTGTCAAAACAGTCCAACGGAGCAGCGAGACGTCACGAGCGGGGTGACGCAAGCACCAGAAAGTATAAAAGTGCATTCAGCACAGCGCAAACCAGCTTCTGCTCTTCAGTAGTGCTCTGTGTATGTGTCTGTCTAACGATTTGTGTGTCGTTTGTTTAGGAGCGAAGCATGCACGGTCAGCTTTCGAGCAGCTGATTGTTATCACTGCGAGTTACTCTCGCTGCGTATGCACTGCTCTCGCCTGGCTGTATTTGATGAGAGCAGCCAGGCTCATGATCCCGCTGGCAGCGGTCCCGCTGTTGCCGAGGCACAGCACAGACTGTTGTCGTGGGGATCGCGGGTGGATTTAGTGGAGGGATCCGAGACGGGCTCGTCAATTTCTCGGTCCTCACTCGCTAGATCCGCTTCATCTATCTTCCTCTGAGGAGGTGGATGTGATGAGTGTCGAGACAGAGGAGACTGTGGACTCGCCACCACAGTCCCTCGCGTATGAGGTGTGATTCGTGATTGTTTTTTTTTTTTCGTGCATTCGCCAAAATAAAATATCGTTTGGTCAGCCTAGAAACAAGACTTCTGAATCCAGATCACAGCCTTCACGACGGGGGCCTTCCGTTTTCCCCGATCTCCATGCTGAGGTGTCAAGATTGTGGGAGAAACTGTACTCATCCCGTATTACAGCCCCACAGTCTCGAATTACTCAAAAGATCATCATGGGGCTGAATGATAAGGGATATGGGGCGATGCCAGTGGTGGAGCAGGCGCTTGCGAGCTATCTCTCCCCATCCTCAGCATCGTCCCTGAAGGCCCTGAAGCTTCCCACCAGGCCCGTTAGGCTTACATCGAGTCTGGTTGGGAAAGCTTATACGGCGGTAGGTCAGGCTGGCGCATGTTTGCACACCATGGTGTTGTTACAAGCATACCAGGCTGACCTACTCAGGGGTGGGGCTGCAGAGCGGGAGCAGCCCAAGCCATCAAGCTCCTCATATCGCCAGTCTCAAAAACAGAGTGTTGCAACCCGCACCCCTCCACAGAAAGATCGGGGGTCGGGGCGATGCTCTCAGTTCGTGTCTTCTAGACCGAAAACGGATCTGCGGACCGTTATTTTGTCTAAGAGGACCTCGGGTAAATGGTCCTACCATTGTCAGGTCCCTGAGGGCAGCCCACATGGGGAGGAAAGGATAACACCTCAGTATACGGTGCCCAATCCTCCTCAGTGCCCTCACGGAGGCTTATTGATACCCCTGCCACCCTCGGTGCTTAAGGGCTCAGTGAGCTCCGACGAGTGAAATTCCCAGCTGCCGCCCGGCAACGGTACGGCACAGGAGAGCTCGCCCCCTCAAGAGAGGGTGCTAAAGCAGTCAGGTCGGTCATTCCCTGCCGGTCATCCGCTTCAGGGCACCGAACTGGCTCCTCTAATAATACCAGAGGCCAGCCCCGAGAGGCTGGTTCCCTTAGTAGATTTTCTGGTAGCATGGAAACTTCTACCAAATATCTCAAAATGGGTCCTGCAGATTGTAGAGAAAGGTTACAGAATCCAGTTCGGTTCTCGTCCGTCTTGTTT